AAAAATAGATCAGACATGAATTTATAAAATTTAAGCAGGCAAATTTGCCTGCTTATCTGGATGGTTTAAGGGATAAAACACATAAAAATGAACATGAAAGTACGAAGTTTTGGATAAGTAAATGTATTTGTACGTATATCCGTATTTGTATCTACACAATTATTGAAGTTAGTTTGTAAATCTTGACTTGTAGACAAAGAATTTTAGATGACATTAGCAAGTGATGCTTGAGATAATAACAGGTTTATGTTGTTGTTATTTTCAATTATGGTCTTGATCTGGAGAATAATATTGATTACTTGATCAATAGAGTAGTTGTTAATTATTTGGAGATGTTCATTATGGTTATTAGAATTAGGTTGCAATGAAGGTTGATACTGGATATTAGGTTGCAATTGCTGATTTTGGAAAATAGAATGTTGACAAAGAAGTTGATGCTGATCAAAAGGTGGTGGTTGATAGAAATTACGTCAATGGTTTTGGACATTATGTTGGTGTAATAGATGATGCTGAGGATGTTGATAAGGAGGGTTTTGATAAGAAATAATTCTGTCTATTCAGTGGTAAATATTGCGTTGAATTATTACTGTGTTCCAAACAATGCTCACATTGGCATCCTGGATTAAATTCCTAGTTGTCATCTGTTCTAAATAGAGAGGTTTGAGACATTTTTACTAAAATAAAAGATTCTCAAGTAGTGAGAAAAAACCGAAGTAGTTTATGAACAGATTTATATATTCTCAGCGAGAACCAGTTTTGGCAAATAATTTGAAGATTAAATATTTACGCGTGTGTAATGATCTATTTTTTCTTCAGAATCGTATAAGATTTTTACTTCGATTCTAGTAAAAAAAACTATTATAAAAAGCTTTGAACTACTACAAGGTTCAGTCAACAAACTCCTTAATTTCAATAGTGTTACGTGAATTTTACTTCGTTAAGATATTACATAAACTTCAAAAGAGGAGGAATTCGATGAATCATTGGAATAAGGGGTCAGTCAATAGACTTGATAATTTTGACGAAATCACATATAGAATAAACTTTTCAGGCCTCAGAATCACGTGTGTTTCAGTAAAAATATCATGTTAAGGTACTGCACAAGCCTCATTGGGAAAACTGTACAAGGAATCAGTCAATAGATTTGACAGAATCTTCATGTAAAATAAACTTTATGGCTTCAGAATTGCGTGTTTCAGTAAAAAAATCACTATTATATACTGATTAAGTCTGATATGAATTTAAGTCGCGTGGCTTTTTTTGTACTTTAAGATTTATATTGACCTAACAAACTCTTTTGTTGCGGAAAAATTGATTTTGTTTGTGTGATGCTCTAAAAAAAGGTTCGAAAGTAATTGATTAATAGATTATTCTTTGAATTATACAATATCGATATCAAGCCAAATTTGGCACCAACCAACCGTTAACGTTAATATAAATATTACTCTAATTTTAAATTCAATTCTGGTTTTATATAATGCAAAATTGTAGAAATTATATGATTTTCATAAAATTTACTTTATCAATATATATTTATAAACTGGTTTTTAAAGATCTCAATTTCAAAAATGAAAACTGGATTACATTATGCGTATATAACAATAACAGATAATATAGCAATTAACTAACAATATATTTCAAGATCTCAAAAACCTGTTTTTATGCTAATCATACTGGTCAACCAAAAATTTGTTGGTCAACCTGGTCTGGTCAAATTGGTCAAATGATTTAGTCTATTAAATAAATAATTTTAATATGTATACAAAATAAATATATATAAATATATATGAATTTATATACATATACATACTATATATTTTAAATATCTTTTGACCAATTTGACAAATACCAAACCCTTTGATCAACTGATCAAATTGGTCTGGTCAAGCTTGACCATTGACTGGTCCGTATCAACTCTAATAATATAAAGCATTAGTCTACACCAAACCTTACTAAAGTGTCCTAACCCCAAAGTTAATTTGATAAAATATTAAGTTATATAAACTATCTCTGCTTTAAACGTTCCCCATATTTGGATTGTAAAATTCACTCATATGAAAAATTAGTAATCTTCTGATTTTTGCCTACGATTATTACAAAATAGATCAGTCGTAAACTAAATTTAGCAGATCTGCTGAAATTTGGTATCAGAAATAAGCAGAGCACAAGAGAAAATTTTTGCTATAATCAACACGATTTTTGCAAAACAAATGTTTTTTTTTAATTTGATAATTGATATCGGCAAATTACGTGTCTGAAAAATCGATTCTACGTCTGATATAGCAAAATGTAGTAGTTTCGAAAATATCTTTATTTAAAATTTTCACAATTTAATTTTTAGTTATGAGAAAAAAGAACAAATACCAAAAACTTAAAACTTATAAGAAAAAACTTGAATTTCCCAAATAAAGAAACAGACATTATTTGCTAGTGTAAAATTTAATGAAGCCAAAAATAGTGCTAATAATTGTACCTAAATTCCCTATTAACCTTAAATATAAATCAAGGTTTTTATTATTATCAGCAAACTCATAATATAAGACTGAGATTTGGTTGTTCAAAAAAAATCCTAATAATAAAATTATCCCAAATATAATAAAAATAAAGATAATGCACTTATATTTTCTTGGGTTATAATTATTATTGATGGCGATTTTCACACACTTATCTTCAGTTCGTATAGCAATAGTTTCAATTCGACGATTGCTAAAAATGCTTATACAAACTTGACAATCACAATTTTAAAGAACTCGACAAATACAATTTTCAATCCCTTGTTGATCAGTCAAATTTGGAGCTTGAGACGTAAATGATGACTGTCTTTGAAAGTTATTATTAATTTGGATATTAGCTTGCACAGGAGACGGTGGAAGTTGAGGTTGAGGTTGAGTAGTGAACTGCATAGGTGGATATGCTTGATATTGAACGTGTCCAATACCATGAGTACCATTAACATTAATGTATCCAATACCATAAGTACCATTAACAACATGAGGCAACATGTCTTAAGGCATGGAGATATTCTGGTTTCTGATTTCTG